AGTCGCTCTCCTCTTCCCCTGCTCTCTGTCCCACTGAGTTTTGTAGGGATTGTTTTGTGCTGAGAGCCGGTCCTGCTGCGCTCACTTGCAGTGGTATGTTACCGCACCCGATTTGAGAACATTTGCAGTAACATAGTGAAGCAACAGCAAATTTAAAAAAAAATATCAGTTGTGGGCACTAATTATACGTCAGGCAGGAGCTGTACTTCGTGCAAAAGGCAGTGATGACTGCGTGAATGTTCCTTCTGATCATACGGCTTTTGAAAGCATTTTCCTGAGTTGGCCTCCTCGCTTGCTCTTTTTTTTTTTTCCTCCCGCATACGGGATGGTGTTCAGTTTTGGTCAGAAGTTGTATATATTTTGTATATAATTTTCTTCTTGGTTATTGCTGTTTTTTTAATCAAAGATGCGTTATTGTTGTTTACATGGAATGAGTTTATGGTGCTTTTGCTGCTTTCTGCTTGGGTTCTCTTATTTGATATTGAGACTGTGTAAATGTAAGTCATGTAACACAGGACTTTGAATAGCGTAGTCGCAGTACTGCTGTCTTATGCCGCTTTGCGGATTCTCATGCCGCTATTGTATTTGGTTTTGTTTCCAGCGAATGAAAAGGAGCCTGAGCTTCCGCTCTGTGCCGGTTTCACACACAGTTGGTTTGGGGCGTACCGCAGCGCCCGCGACTGTGCGTCAGCCCCAGCGCTGTTCTGCTGGGCAGCCTTCGCTTGCAGCAGCGCTGCCCTTGCCTGCATGCTGCTTTCTGCTACCGTTTTTCTCACGGCTCCACCAAGTTATTAAGTCAGGAGGGGTCCGCTGCGGTTAGGGCATTTCTAGTGGGGGCCATCGGGGTATCAGCGGCCTTTTCTGTGTTAGGTGGGAGAGACGATGGCTTTGTATCGCCTGCAGCACAGTCAGGAAGTGCCAGTTGATGCAAGACCACCCAACCTCTTTGCCTGACGTTTCAGTGTGTTTCACTTAATGCTCTAAAAACTTTTCAGAGTCTCTAGGTCTGCGCAGTAAAGTCCTCCGTAAAATTGAAGAACTAAGGATGAAAATGGAAAAACCTGTTTCTGTTGCTATCCCTGATGAATTCTTATGTCCTATAACAAGGGAGCTTATGAAGGAGCCTGTTATTGCAGCAGGTATGTCTTTGGACAACTTTTAATTAAAAAAAATGAATGGTTTAAGGGTAAAGATGGATATGGGAAACTAATGTATCAACTAATATCTCAAAAGTTTTAAAAAGATAAATAGTTCTAAACAGATGTTACACCAAAATAAAACTATGGTTTGTTTCTCTTGTTATAAATACTTAACTTGCCAAATCCTTATTTCTGATAATGAGAAATACTATACATGCAGATCTCTTAATGAAGGTGTGTGTGTGTGTGTTTGTTTTAAACATGCCTTTCTTTTATACCACTGCAAATAATAGTTAAAAAAATCAGTATTCATTAGCTACCTCACTACCCAGCACTGTGTGAAGCTCCTCTAGTATGGACACAACTGACTTAGCAACATGAATGCTTTTTGCAGGGCTGAATTGGAGGAATTTAGGCATTTCTGGGCGTAGAAAGTAACTAAACTGAGCTGGATGTTTTGTTCAGGTTCCTAAGCTAACTGAGACTTTAGTGAAACTTGTGTTTATCTTAACTTTTTTTAATATAGAATGCTCTACTCCATCTAGAATTAAAAAAAAAAAAGGGGGGGGAAAAGGAAAACTGGTGTACCCAAGTGAACATCCTGAATAAGATAAGAAATCGTTGGTCTTTGTTGAAATGACTATTTTTTTCTCCTACGTTAAGCAGCTCGCAGTTAGTTAACAAAAAGGCGGGCCGGGCGCACCGGCCGTGCTGTGGGGGGGCGGTGGAGGAGGACACAGGCTCCTAGTCCCTCAGGCAGGGGTGGTCCGCGAAGGGGAGCGTGTGCGGAGGCTTGGCACAGTGAAAAAGGAGGGTGCTACTTATTCCTCCATGTATGCGCTTTGAGTAAGAGCGTTTTTCGGTAGTGAGCGAAGCGGTGAGAGCGCCCAGGGCTAGCGAGGGCGACAAGCGGCGCTCGGCCGCGGGCAGGTGCGCGGCCCCACTGCGAGCTGTGCGCGGGTGAAAGCGTCCAGCTCCGGGCCGGGGGATCTGGCCGGCCGGGCGGGGGGGGGCGCTTAGACATTGGTGGTCTTTCAGTTCACATGCTACATAGCATTTAAACCAAAAATACAACGTTCATTTGGACCACCTGCATAATTTGTTTCTTTGCAGGTCACAGAGACAGAAACGTCTGACTAGGCTGAGCTGTGTATAGTGTGTTTGCGCTGTCTTTTCTTTCTTTGCTTTTTGCTATAAAGGGGGCCTCCAGTGAAAATTATTTGTGCTAAAAAAAAAAGATTATTCGAGAGAAATTAAACTTTAGCTCCAGCTAAGTAGAGGGAAAAAAAGAAAAGGTTGTTTGTTTAAATTGTGTTAATCTACTAGCGCCATTAACCAAACAAGGTCAGCACTTTCACTAACAAGTGGCCGTTTCTGCAAC